CTCTTGACCATTCATGGGATGTTCAGTGTTCTTCTCTAGCACCACAGCTCAAAGGCATAATTTCTTTTTCTGTCATATTTATTCACTGCCCAGCTCTTGGATGCTTAGCTAATAATCAGAAAGACTATGGCCTGAATCAGATGCACCTTGGTCCTCAAACTGACATCACTATTCATCAATAATTTCGAAAGGTCCCTAAGTGCAGATTTTCCCAGTGCAATGTGTCTTTTTATTTCCTGACTGCTTGTAACAAGGATGTTAATTATGGATCCAAGCAAGATGAAGCTGCTGACAGTTTCAATTTCCTCTCCATCCACCATGATACTGCCTCTCAGTCCAGTGGTAAGAATCTTCATCTTCCTGACATTGAGATGTAATCCATACCAAAGGCTGCATTCCTTGATCTTCTCCAACAAGTGCTTCAAGCCCTTCCCACTTTCAGCAAGGAAGGTTGTGTCATCTGCATAATGTAGGCTATTGAGGAGTCTCTCTCCAATCCTGATGCCACACTCCTCCTCATAGAGTCCAGCGTCTCGGATAATTTGCTCAGCAGACAGACTGAATAGGTATGGAAAGAGAAATACATAGTACATAGATAGGGAACTTCCAGAAGTTCAATCAAGATTTAGAGGAGGCCATGGCATGATGGATATCATTGCTGATGTCAGATGGATCTTGGCTGAAATAAGGGATACAAGAGGAATATCTATTTGTGCTTTATTGACTATGCAAAGGCGTTTGTGTGGATCACGACAAGTTGTGGTTGAGATTGAGAAGAATGAGAATCCCAAAACACTTGATTGTGCTCATGCGGAACCTATACCTTGAGCAGGAGGCTGTTGTGTGAATGCAGCAGGGGAACACTGCATGGTTTGGAACTGAGAAGGGAGTGCATTAGTGTTGTATTCTCTCTATATAACTTTATTACAATACACAGAGTCAAATACCTTTGCATAGTCAACCAAACACAAGCAACGTTTTTCTGGTCTTCTCTGCTTCACCAAAGACCCATCTGACATCAGCAATGCTATCCCTTGTTCCACAGCCTCTTCTGAGTCCAGCTTGAATTTCTGGAAGTTCCTTGTCAATGGACTGTTCCAGCTGTATTTTAATAATCTTCAGCAAGATTTTACTTGCATGTGATAACCGATGCTATTGTTTGATAATTTCCACATTCTGTTATATCACCTGCTTTTGGAACGGGCTCACTTTGACAGGACCCGATGTCTCCTGAGACACTGCCTTACTAAAGGTTATGGCTCAAGTTGCCACCATTACCCCAAAAATAACCTGTTATACACTTGTACTACTTTGCTCAAGCAAGGAGAGTTGCATGGACTGCATGCAGCATGCATGAACACTCTGGGAAAAGTTCTGTTTTGCTTGGGATCCTGGCTCTTTGTCATGTGACCGGTGGCTCTTAGGACTAGAGCCAGCAGCACATCATCTGACTTGAATTCACTGGCTTCTTCAGCCTTCTGGGCAAAAAGCCTGTCATCTAATTTGCCAGTCTGGGTTCCTCATCCCCTGCAACTACCTGAGTCAGAAGAAACCTCCAGACAGATACCTGATTCACTGATCTGGGATGGACTTACAAGTCTCCATGCCATGAAGGTCATTTCCTTGATGGTTCAAGAGTTTGGTGAAACGCTGCAGCAAATTACGAAAATATGGCAGGGAGAGTAGTAGTTTATGTTAGAGAGATAAAGTGATACAGGTATTTGGGATAAACTGGTATTTGGAACATTTTTAACCCAAATCTCCTGGGAACCAGGTTTGTTCTCTTGTTAGAATAAGAAATTCTTTATCCATACACCAGCATTATCTTCTTCTGTGCTTAAGAATAAAAACATCACCGACTGATGACTGAATTCTCTCACTGAGCCAGAACTCAGCCTCAGAATCTCTCTCAACACAAAGCTATGCACATTTACAGCTCAGTGGAATAACAGCTATGCTGATGCAAATATACGTTAAACATTCAAATAGAATCAGTACGTGGAGTAAGGTCAGCTGTCCTTAGTGGAAACCCAGTAAACCCTTGATAAGTATCTAGCTGTGCTGAGTCACACACTTTGGACATGTTGTCAGAAGGCGCCAATCCTTGGAAAGAGACACCATGCTGGGAAAGCTAGAGGGTCAGAGGAGGACGCTCCACAATATGGGCTGATACAGCAACTATGACAATGGGCTTGAGCAGAATGGAAATCATGAGGATGGCGCACAACAGGCAAAACTTCAGATCTACTGTTCATAAGGTCACTATAAGTCACAGTCCACTTAATGCCACCTAACAACAACAATAACATATCAAGTTATGTCTAAATCAGACATGCATTTAGACGCCACACAAATGATAGCAAATCATTCTCAAACTTTCAGGAGTATTGTGTCTACCTGATGTGCTTTGTTAAAAAAGCCTGTCACTGGATCCTACCCCAGAAATTATGACTGGATAGATCTAAATCTGTAGTTTGAGAGTAACCCAGGTGCTGACGGAGACGGGGCCAGGCCCCAGAATCAGTACTTACAGAGTCCAGACAAGTCTGTAGTCACCTTAACTGTTCAAATGGTGACCCTGAGGCCCAAGGAAGAAGTGCCAGATGTCACAGCAAATATCAGGCAACACATTTCTATTCAATATTGTATTGGATATACTTGCTAGGGTAATACAATAAGAAAAGGAAATAAAAGTCATCCAGATAGGCAAAGAGATGGTTAAACTGTCATTTTATGCAGATGATGGGATAGTGTACACAGAAAACCCCTAAGATTCAACAACAATAACAAAAAAACCCCAACTCCAACTGTTTAGAACTAGTAGAACAATTTAGTAGGGTGGCAGGATATGAGATCAGTATAAAAAAATCACTAAGATTCCTCTACAGTAACAAAGAGAACTCAGAGAAGGAAACCAAGAAAGCAATATCTTTTACAATAGCCAACCACAAACTGAGATACTTAGGATTGAATCTAACTAGAGATACAAAAGACCTATACAAAGAAAACTACGGGATATTTCTGCAAGAGACAATAAAAGACCCAAAGAAATGGAAAAATATGCCCTTTTCATGGATGCGAAGGCTCAATATTGTGAAAATGACAGTCCTACCAAAGGCAATCTACATGTTCAACACAATCCCAATCCAGAAATAAAATTCATTTTTCAAGTAGATCAAAAGAGAAACTGTCAAGTTTATTTGGAGAGGAAAAAGACCCCAAATAAGCAAAACACTTCTGAAAAATAAAAATAAAGTGGGAGGCATAGTATTATTCCCTGTCCTCATAATCTACTACACAGTGGTAGTAACCAAAACAGCATGGTACTGGTACAACAAGAGGCACATAAACCAACAGAACAGAAATGAGAACTCAGAAATAGACTCAGCTATCTATGGCCGACTGATAATCGACAAGCAAATAAAACCTGTCAAATGGGGCAATGACAACCTCTTCAACAAATGGTGCTGGCAAAACTGGACTGCTCCATGCAGAAAGATGAAACACATCCACATCTCACATCATACACAAAAATCAACTTAAGGTGGATCAGACACCTGGGAGTAAAACCCAAAACCATAAAGTTCATCAGAGACAAACTGGGACCAAGCTTAGATGGCCTAATCTACGATATAAAGACACTGCCAAATACAGCCAGAATGGCACAATTTGGATAGGACAAAATGGATTACTGGGGCCTTCCAAAGATGAAATCTCTGTACACATCAAAACCTTTTTACAGTAAAATGAAAAGGAAAACCTACTGATTGGGAAACAACATCTGGCAATACCGTTTTAGACAAGGGTCTCATATAAAAAGTTTATAGGATCCTACAGGGCCTCCACAAGAAAAAGACTGGTAACACAATTACAAAGTGGAAAGAATTTTCACAGAGGAAGATAGTCAGATGGCCAAAAGACCATGAAAAAATGCTCAAAATCACTGGCAATAAGAGAGATGAAAATAAAAACCACAATGAGATACTCTCTCAATCCAGTAACAGTGGCAAAGTTTAACAGGACAGCAAGTAATAGATATTGGAGAGAATATGTAGAGAGATACACATTTATACAACATTGTTAGTGGGATTGTAAAACGGTACATCCACTCTGGAAGGCAGTTTGGAGTTTACTCAGAAAGCTAAACACAGAAATTGTACATGACACAGCTATTCCAATGCTTAGAACATACCCCAAGAAAATGAGAACTGAGGCACCAACGGAGACTTGTATACCAATGTTCATAGCAGCATTATTCACCATCGCAAGAACATGGAAACAGCCCAAATGTCCAACCACAATGGAATGGATTGAGAAATTATGGTACATTCACACGATGGAACACAATGCAGCACACAGGCCCAATGATTTTACAAATCACTACCTAACTTGGTAGGGACTGGAGAGTATTATGCTGATTGTACTAACTCAGTCCCATAAGGACAAATACTGTATAAGACCATTATTGTAGAAACAGATACCTAGTAAAATGTATATAAGGGTCTAAGGGAGGGGAGTAGAGAAGGGGAGCAGAGGGGTGGGGATGGGCGGGGGTAATCATGGGGTTTGCATGATTTGATGTAGGAGTTGCGGAGGTGGGGGATCCAGTATAAGGGGCAGTATATACAGACTTTGTAGGTAAACCAGCATAAAATTAAAGATTTTTTAAAAAAAATTTTTAAGAAAAAAACTCAAAATTTTTTTTAAAAAAAGTCACTTGACAACTCAAAAGTTTTTGCCAAGTTCCCATGACACAGAAGGTTCCTATAGCACCCTGGAAGAAAGGCTCCCCAAAGTAGACATACTGGATGGGTCAGAGGAGATTCCTGGGACTAGCACTTGTTATGTGCCTTCGAGTCAAATACAACCCATAATGTCTCTAAGAACGACAGATCTGAACCCTGTCCTATCCTGAGCCATCCTCACACTTCTTGACTCATTAGAGCCCATTGTGGCAATTACTGTGTCACTTGATGGATGGGCTAATGGGCCCGACTTACCCCTTGCTCCATGCTGTCATTGACACGGTCTGTGACTTTGGAGATGAGGGTCAGTGCGCCTGTGGAGGAAGCAGACAACTGTGTTGTTTGAGGAGGGCTAATCTAGTGTCATTCCTGCCTCTTTGACCATACTCCTCCCTGTCCTAACTCCAACTTGCTCCTTGACACTGCTATAGCTTCAGGGACTTGTAAGTAGTAGCCAGATTTCCCCCGAAAGGCCAGGCCACTGGCAAAGTGACCTTGGTGGTGATTTGGTCACTCTGGGCCCCAGCTCCTCTGGATACAGACTGGACATGTTAAGATGGGACCTACCCTGACAGGCCAGTCCTCCAATGATAGTCACAAAGAATTAGGAGGACAGAGGAAAACTGGGGTGTGCTCGTCAGACTTAGTGCCACCTCCTGGCACCAAATTCTGGTTACTCCTTTCTCCTCTCTGTACTGAATGCCAGACTTCTCATGGTGGAAGTAAAGAGGGAATCATGTCTGTGCATCTAGACAAGGCTTGAGGGTTCACATCCAAAACACACTCAAAGTCTGTCCTGGGCCTGGAAAGGGCAGAATTAGGGAAGCGAGCCTCATGGCATCTCCATTCTCCTAGAGCATGGTGGACTTACCCTGAGTGTTCTCGTACTCTGCCGAGTCCGGGCAAAGGTTATTTAAATAGTCTGTGGGCAGAACAAGAGTCAGGAGTTAGGTATGCCCCGTTGAGGCCAGCCCCTCCTGTTCTCACTATGGCCCCCTGCTCTATCTTCCCAGAGACAGAAGGAAACTTGCTACGCTAGCCCCATCACAGTACACACGAACACAGCAGCAGGCCCAGGGGAACACCATCAACATCGCTGCCACCACTGTGACACATTTAACAACTCAACAAACACCTACTCAGTAGCACACAGTCCACCAGGGGAAGACAGACATGTTGGCCAACACAGCAGAGTGTGATGCATTAAACCTATATTACTACACTAACAGTCCCAAGGCTCTATAAGGGCCATCCCGTCTCTCAGTACATCTTCCACCTTATTCCCTCCAATCCAGCCAATAGCATTTCAGCTATTTCCTGAGAAACTCAAGTCCCAGGAAACTTGTTATTACCTCTCTTTTTCTAGTTCCTTCTATGATCCATGTGCTCTCTCCACTGAGATTTGTGTTCAATGTCACCTCCTCAGACAGGTCTTTCCTGACTACAATACCTAGTACTGCAGCCTCGTTCTTCTCAATCACACTAACCCGCTTTACTTTTCTTCAGAGTTCTTAACAAATTATATTTTCCCATTCATTTCCTCCATTACAGTACAAGTTCTATTAAAAGGGATAGTGCAAAGCACGTGCTCAATAAATATTTGCTAAATTAAATGAATGCATTTTCTACTTGAATGTCCACAACCTACTGTCTTTCACTGCAGCCTTTTCACTACCTGAACTTAAATTCAGGAGTGCCTTTAATGTGTGCAGTGTCTGTCTCTCTACGGGAATGCTGTTCCCTGTGGCAATCCTCTTTATTTTTTTTAAAATGTATTCAGGAAGTGGTTCTAGAGCTCAGGAGAGAGGTGCGGGGCATTTGGTGGAGGAAGGGGTTGGAAGAGAAGTTGTCAAGGACATGAAGGAGCTGGAGGAACAAGAGAGCATTGTTGTTTGGTGGCATTGTCAGCGCCAGCTCATAGCAAACTTAATTACAATGTGGTGAAATCCTGCGAGATCCTGTGTTATCCTCAGTCTCTGCTCTGTTTAAGCCAACTGTTGCAGGAACTGTGCCAATTCATCCTGGTGAGGGTCTTCCTCAACTTCACTGACCATACACTTTCCCCAGTATGATGGCCTTTCCAGGCACTGGCCTTTCGCATAACCTGGTCAAAGCATGTGAGACCAACACTCATCATTCTCACTTTTGGAAGCACCCCAGCTGCACTCCTCCAAGACAGATTTGTTCATTCTTTTTTTTTTTGGGGGGGTGTTACTGTCGTATAATTTAATGAGAAATTAATATAGAACAAGATTGGCATTATACTTTAGTGGAGAAGGATGGATTTTGCAATAAAAGATGCTGAGGAAAAGTTATTCACATAAATAAATAACACTGTGCACACATAACACATTGAAACAGTTTTCAATGTAATAAATACTTCAGGTTAACATTGTAAAAACTGTTGGAATACAGTATTAAGGACAAGAAGTACACAACAATAAAGAGAAAACAAATTAGGCTAAATTAATAATAAAAGGTTTTTTCTTCTTATTTCAACTTTTCTTTTTTTTTTTCATTTCAATGAACATCTACAGAGATTTTGGAATTCTATTAATTCATTGTTGCACCCTTCTCCCCGCCCACATCCCCTCTGTTCATTCTTTTGACAAATGATGGATGGTATATTCCATATTCTTCGCCAAGTACCAGCAAGGCTCAATTTTTCATTGGTAATTTTTCTTTTTTGTCAAACTTTCACATGCATATGAAGCAATGGAAAATCATATGACTTGGGTCAAGTGCACCTTAGTCTTTAAAGTGGAATTCTTGCTATGGAGCACTTTAAAGAGGTTCTTGGCAGCCAATCTGCCCAATGTCCTTTGATTTCTTGACAGCTGCTACCACAGTTACTGTATATGGTTTTAAGTAAAATGAAATCACTGACTATTTAAATCTTTTCTCCACTTATCATAGTGTGGCCAATTGGCCCAGTCATGAGGATTTTTATTTTCTGGATATTGAGGTGTAATCTTGTAGTTTTTGATCTTCAATAACTGCTTCAAGTTCTCTTTACTTTTAGCAAACAAAGTTATATCATCTTCATAATCCAGGCTGCTGGTGAGTCCTCCTCCACTGAAACCATATTCTTTATTATGTAGTCTAATTTCTTGGATTATGTGCTCAGTATACAGATAGAATAGATCTAGTGCAAAGATATAAACCCCAATGTACACCTCTGCTGATTTTAAACCAAGCACTAACACCTTATTCTGTTTCAATAAATGATTCTTGATCTAACTAAAGGTTCTGTATAAACACGATCATTCTGGAATTCCCATTGCTCTCAACGGTACCCATAATTTATTAACAGCCATGTAGTGAAATGCTTTTGTGTAGTCAAGAAAACACAAGTAATTATCTTTCTGATATTCTCTGCTTTCAGCAGTTCAGGCTGAATTTTTGGCAGTTCCACGTCAGCCAATGTAGTGTTTCAGCCATTTTTCATTAATCTTCAGCAAGATTTTACTTCTATAAGTTATTAATGTTCAAGAAATGACACAAATATGAATGTCTTCCAGTTAGTTTGTCAGGTAGTTTTCTAAACTTCTTGGCACAGATAACTGAACATGTCCAAGGGATGCATCTCTTTGGTGAAATACATCAACTGGTGTTCCATCAATTTCTGGAGCCTTATTGGTTACCAAGGCTTTAGTGCTGCTTGGACATCTTCCTTGCACACATTGGTTTTTGATCAGGTATTAATTCCTAATATGGTTCAGTGTCAATGAAATATTTTTTGATACAATAACTATGTATTCTTTCCATCTTGTTTTGATGCTTCCTGAGTCCTTCAATATTTTGGCCATAGAATTCTTCAGAACTGCAACTTGAGGCTTGAATTTTTTCTTTAGCACAGAGCAGGGCAACACTGCATGGTTCAAAATTGGGAAGGGTGTATGCCAGGGATGTGTCCTAACTCCATACCTTTTCAACATGTATGCAGAGCAGATTATCCGAGAGGCTGGGCTCTATGAGGAGAAGCGTGGCGTTAGGATTGGTGGAAAATCTATCAACAATCTGTGTTATGCAGATGACACAACCCTGCTTGCTGAAACTGAGGAGGACCTCATGCACTTACTGCAGAGGGTCAAGGACTGCAGCCTTCAGTATGGACTGAGGCTCAATATCAAGAAGACAAAGATTCTCACCACTGGACCAACTGGTAGCATCAGGATGGATGACGAAGCGATTGAGATTGTTCACAACTTCAGTTTGCTTGGCTCCACAGTCAACACTCTTGGCACCAGCAGCCAGGAAATCAGAAAACGTATTGCAATGGGAAAGTCTGCTGTTAGGGACCTCTCTAAAGTACTCAAGAGCAACGGTGTCTCTCTGGAGACTAAGGTGCACCTGATACAGGCCATGGTCTTTGCAATCACTTGTTATGCATCAGAGAGTTGGACAATGACTAGAGAGTAGAAGGAGAATTGATGCCTTTGAGCTGTGGTGCTGGAGAAGAGTATTGAATGTACCATGGACTGCCAAGAAAACAAACAGATCCATCCTAGAGAGGGTTAAACCAGGCTACTCCTTGGAGGCAAGGATTCTGGGGCTTCGTCTGACATACTTTGGACATGTTGTAAGGAGAGACAGGTCCTTGGATAGGGACATCATGCTCGGTAGGGTAGAGGGACAGTGCAGGAGGGGAAGACCCTCTATGAGGTGGATTGATTCAGTGACTGGGGTAATCGGGATGGGTGTGTCAGAGGCAATGCGACTGGCACAGGATAGAGCAGGGTTTAGGGCTGTTGTACATACAGTCGCTATGAGTCACAAAAGACCTGACGGCACATAACAACAACAACAACAACTTTCAGTTTGAAGAACGCTGGGTGTGCTCTTAGGTTTTGGTGTTCTAATTCCAAGTGTTTGCTCATTTCATTATCCTCAAGCTGCCATTTGAAAACTGCCAACTAGTTCTCTTATTTCATCATTTCTGCCTCTTGCTTTTGCTGTATGCTGAAGAGCAAGTTTCAAAAGTCTCTTCTAATGTCCATTTTATTTTTTCATTACTTGTTTTCAAATGAACTTTTAATTACATCATGGACTACCAAAAGAACAAACAAATCTAGCTTGGAGGAAGTTAAACCAGACTCCTCCTTGGAGGCAAGGATGGTGAAACTTTTTATACACTGGACATGTCTGGAGGCATCAGTCCTTGGCAAAGACATCATGCTTTGAATCTTGTGTCAACAAGAGCAACTGACACAGTGACTCCAACAATAAGACTTAGTTTAGAAAATATTGTGAGCATGATGCAGAACAGGACAAAGTTTTGATCTGTCTATCAAAGCGTCACTACGAGTTGGAGCCAACCAGACACTGTCTGACATCATCCATCTGTCTGTCTGGTCTTTGGCCATTAGTGTTCAATTCCTGTCTTGAGATGGTCTCTAAATTCAAGCAGGATATACTCAAGGTTGTATTTCAGATGCCACGAATTTGCTTTCCTTAGAGCTCTGGTAGCCTAGAGGCAAGGAGCTACACTGCAATCCTGAAGGCACGTGGTTTGAAGCCACCAGCTGCTTTGCAAGAGAAGGCTGGGAAATCTCCTCCCGTGCAATTAACTGCCTCTGAAAACCTGCTGAAGGGACAGCTAAGGGTTGGTTCTGACTCAACGGTACACAACAACAACAGTTTCAATTTGAATTTGCACATGAGCAATTAATGGCCTGATCCACAGTTGGCCTCTGGCCTTGTTCTTACTGATTATTTGAGCTTCTCCACCATCTCTTTGCACTCACGGTCACTGCGTTGGTTCCAACCCTCGGTTTTCAAGGCTGTAAACTGTAATGATAGGAGAATTCCTATATTTTTCCCAGGGAGCTGTGAGTAAATGGATGTAGTTGATTTAATTTCTATGTATTTTGTCAGATAAGGTCCATGTGTTTCATGTCAAATTAGCTGCTTTTGAGTCTGATTTAACAGCTGTGATGTGGTCATTCCTTTCATGAAATTGGATGTAACCATTCCTTGGATGGGATTTGCCTGAGGGCAAGCTTCACTGGGGGTGTCTGCCTCCATGGATTATATAAGGAAGTCAAGTGGAGCTGGCTTGATTTCAGTTAGGTGTCCATCATGCATCTGGATCTATCTCTTTAATTTTCTGGACTACCATCCTGCCTTAACTGGAGGTACTGAACTACATCCATCAGCTTCTGTAACTATGTCTCTGGTCTGGGACTTGCCAGCCTGTATCAGCAAGAGCCATGTCCTTTGGATAAATGTCTCTCTCTCTTACTGTATATATGTGTGTGTGTGTGTATGTGTGTGTATATATACACACACACACACACACATACACATATATATATACATATATACATTATATATATAGTGTGTGTATATATATGGGGGTGTGTGTGTGTATATATATATGGGGTGTGTATATATATATATATATATATGGGGTATATATATATATATATATATATGTTGTTGTTATGTGTCGTTGAGTCGCTTGCGACTCATAGCAACCCTATGTACAACTGCCCTAAACTCTGCTCTGTCCTGTGCCAATTGCACTGTCTCTGACACTCCCATCCCGATTATCCCAGTCACTGAATCAATCCACCTCATAGATATATGTATGTATTTATACACATACAAGCATACACATGTTGCACATCGTCGAGTGAAAACTGATCCATAGCTGGCCCTCTGGTAAGTTTTCAGAGGCAGTTAATTGCATGGGAGGAGACAGCCCACCTTCCTCCCACAGAGCAGTTGGTGAATTCAAACCATTTGCCTCTGGGATTGCAGTGCAGCTTCTTGCCACTAGGCCACCAGAGGTCTCTAAACATAATCATCCACATGTGTCATTTGTTTTGATTTCTTGGTTTTGCTTCTTAAGAAAACCCAACCTAAGCCAATGTGTACAGTCACTATGTTTTTTAAAAGTAACTGGCAATAAATAAGTTCTTGGTCATACAAAATTTTATCATGCAATTTCCTGCCTCACCTCTATCACCAAGGCCATATTTTCCAACTACCAATCCTTCTTTATTTTGCATTTCCATCACTAGTTATTAGTAATGCATCTTGAGTGCATGCTCGATCAATTTCAGATTGTAGAAGCCAGTAGAAAGTTTCAATTTCCTCACCTTTGGCTTTAGTGATGGTTGCATAAATTTGAATAATAAGCCGTATTGATATTTTGTATGTTTATGAATATTATTTTACCACTGACAGCACTGCACTTAGGGATAGATATTAAAATATTTTTTGACAATAAATGTGTTATTATTCCTCTTCAACATGTCATTCAGGAATGGTAAATCATATGATTATCTGATTCAAAAGGGCCAAAATCAGTTCACTGCAGCTTGCTAATGCCTAAGATATTGATCTTCATGCATTCCATTTAATTTTTGACAATACTCAATCTTCTTATGTTCACACTTTGTACATTCCACATTCTAATTGTTAATGGATGCTGGCAGCTGTTTCTCCTCATTTTGAGTGGGGTCACTTCTGCAAATGAAGGTCCTTCATTGGCTGAAATTATTATTCCATCCACATCATTAAGGTAGACCCTACTTTGAGGAGGCAGCTCTTCCCCCGCTGTGTTTTGTGTTGTCTTCCAGCCCACGTGCCTCCTCTTCTGGCAATGTGTCAGACAGCATTCTGTTGCTATTCATAGGGTTTCAAGAGCCCACTGTTTTAGAAGTGGATGGCCAGTTTCCTGCCTAGTCTCTGTTAGTCTGGATGCTCTGCTGAAAGCTGTCCACCATGGGTGACCACTGTTGTATTTTTCCCCCGTTGTATTTTAAATTACTGCTGTCACAGCTTCCAAAACCACAACAATAAACAAGCTACCACAGCATGACAAATTGAGAGGACATGTTAGCAGAGTGTACAGAAAAAGCCTGGAAGGGAAGGACTTTGGGAAGTAGTAGGTGGTTAGTACTAAAGCCAGAGAGAGGCTGAGCAAGTCCAAGATTGAAATGAGCCCTATTTCGGGCCAGAGAAAAAGGCTCTGGTGGCATCAACAAGAGTAAGTTTAATGCAAGAAGGAGACATCTGACTGAGAGAAAAAGGAAAGCACAGAATGGAGAAGGTGTATGATGGGAAAGGCCAAAAGTGGCCGATGATTGAGGCTTCCAAGTTGGCTCAACTTGAGGGATAGTTGGGGCAGAATCTAGTACTTCTGGAGGAACAGCAGCATAGAAAATGAAGAATAACTCTATCCTCCCCAGCACCCTCTACTGGCTTGCTGTCACCTCACATGCAGCTTGCTGTCTATCACCTCTACTCTTTCCTTAGCTACATCTTTCTCCATCTCTGTCCTCTGACACCTCCTTGGGGACCCACCTGTGAGGAGCACTTGATACTGGAAAAGGCGCTGGACCACCCTCAGCATTCGATGCTTCACACTCTGGCCACCTCCTTGTGAATTCTGCTGTCCTCAGAGACGAGAAAAAACTCCATCAAGAGGTCTCCTTTGGGCCCAAATTCTCAGCCTCCTTCCCTATGCTGTCCCCTTACACTTCCTTGTGGCCAGCATGAGCTTTTACTCTATTTTCAAATCCAGCCCACCTCCCCTCAAGAGCCCAAGGAGATCTGCCCCCATCCTCACTATGTGTTACCTCCTTTGGTCCCACAGCCGGTCGGATACTCACTAACACTCTTCTGGTCCCTGCTTCACTCCTTGTTTTAGAAACAGACAAAACCCCCAGTAACTAGACACCCAATACTGGCCAGTACTTGCAGCTGCCACGTTCATCTATCTCTGTGCCCAACTAGTATTGATCTATTATTGGGACAGGAGAAGTGCCTGAGAAAACCTTGAATCCCCAGGTCACTGAATCATCAACAACAGCCCAGGAGCGGTTTTTCTGGGTTCCTGCCTTTCTCTCCTGTTAGGACACCCTCCATAGACTCGGCAGGTCTTCCTTTCCATTTTCTAGATTTGGTCTACCCGGGATGCCCCATCCAAGAGTGTCAAGCCCTTCAGTGCCCTGAGTCCTGGTACATCCTCAGAGCAGGGTCTCGGCAGCACGTGGCACCCACCTCATACTCGCGGACAGCAGCTGCCAGCCGCGGAGCGTGGAGGCAGTTCTCAGCAAGCAGACCCAGGTACCTGTCGAACTGTAAGATGTGAGCGGCATGGTGGTCAAACTCCAGCTCTCGAGCCAGGAAGACGTCAGCCACCTTCTGCTGGCCCTCCCTGCAGCCAGGAAGGGTACAGACAGGGAGAGCTCAGTCTTGGAGTTCACATGGACGGCAGTTAGAACGGCAGTGCCAAAAATCACAGGCCTGGGTATGCACCTTAGTTCTACCTTCCCAGAGTCGTTTCACTTTGGACAAATGACTTAATACTTCTTTGTTTGGCTTCCCCATCACTAAAATGCAGGCACATGGCACCTGGTGGTATTTTTACCACTCCTTCTGTTTCACAGTAAAAGTGCACCTGGGTGGTGCAAGTAGTTAACATGCTTGCTCTGAATTGGAAAGTTGGAGGTTCGAGTCTACCTTCAGAGATTCAAGGATTAGGATCTAATTCCAAACACCAGCCACTGAAAGTCCCATGAAGCACACCCTAGTCCGATGCCTCCCAGCTGGCCTGCAGGTTCTGGGTTCCTGCCTCATGAGAACAACAGCGCTGGGGCTGAGGAAACGCTCACCACTGTGCCAGCCTCTCCTCCAGCTCCTCCAGAATCCCCTGGTGCAGGTCATGGATGGCCGGAAGGTGGCTCAGACCAAGCCGCAGTGCCTCCCTGGACAGCGTGTCCTTGCCTTCTTGGTCCATCTCATCCAAGGTTCTCATGACAGCTCCGTGGAAATCCTGAAAAACCAAGAGGCCTGCTGCCCAGGGGGTCAAGAACCCTGAACACAAGACCCTGCCTAGCTGGGCACTGGGCATACCTGCAGCTTTGGAGCCCTGGTACACATAACCTCCACAAAGAACATGCAGTGACCTTAAGCCAGTATTTGCAGACCCATGTGTTCTCATGCATAAAATGGGATGATATCAACTTTGTGATCGTAACTGTTGAATTAACCTATGCCCCCAAATCACCTTGAGTCTAATTAAAACTGTCAAGTGTATCATATGTTGCTACAACACTCAGTCCCACATACTTGGAGCACATTGCTAGGAGAGGCTACTCCTTGGAGAAGGACATTATGCCGGGGAAAGGTGAAGGCACAGCAAAGAACAGGAAGACCTTCAATCAGCTGACCTGACACAGTGACTGCAGCAATGGGCTCAAGTGTGCCAGAGACTGTGAGTGCGACACAGGATAGGCCAGGGTTCAGATCTCTTGTTCACAGGGTAGCTATGAATTGTACTCGACTTGATGGCCCCTTACAACAACATGATGCTGAAAAGCTTCCAGATGGAGACAGACTAGGAATAAAAGCCTGATGATCTACTTCTAAAAGGTACTAATGAAAAAACCCCCACCGTATAGAGATAATAGTAACCTCAACTGCAACTGACTGTGGGAGGGCACAGGACCTGGTTGCATTTTGTTCTACTGCACATGGGTCACCAGGAGCTGTGGCAGCATGACAGCAGCTAACAACAACAGAAGACCATTCTATACAGTTTCCAGCACAAAGATAAGCTTTTTTACAAATGCTTACTCTTCCCTCCTCCCTGGGAAGCTTGGGGGAACACTCTCCTCTCACATGATTGGTGACAACTATGAAGCTACAAAACTTCCCTCAAGGAATATTAAGCTCTCATTTTATAATTAACTATCTTTGAAGAAGTTCTATGAGGTTCTATTCCAAACCAAATTCTACAGAAATCATAATGTATTCATGCTAGAGTACTGAGCTGTTATAAAAAAAAGAAAGATAAGACAAAAATTTTCATGTTTAGAGCTAAGATCAAGAGATGTGGTAGCATAGTGTTGGTCTGCTAACAGGAAGGTCAGCGGTTTGAATCCTCTAGTTGCTCTGTAAGAGACTGATGGGTATTGTCCTCCCCATAAGATTAACGTCCTTGGAAACCCAATGGTGGATCAGCATGAGTTGGAATCGATTTGACAGTGGTGGGTTTGGTTTTGGTTATCAAGATAATGAGCAAATGAAAAAATGATAACAGAAAACACAAAAAATACAAACAGTGACACTTTGTCAAGAATATGGAATTAATAATGATTTTCTTCCTTGATTTTATTTTCAAAAATTTCTAAATAGCAGCTGAAAACTTTAACCATAGCACCAGTAGAGTTTCCTGTATGATTATTAGCTTGCTTCTAAAATGAAAATAAATTTAACAAATACCAATAAAGGTAAGATTTTGTTTTTTAGGAGACAGTGGTGGTTCAGTGATAGAATTCTCACCTTCTGTATGGTGATGTGAGTTTGATTTCTGGACAGTGAACCTCATGTGCAGCTACAACCTGTCTGTTAGCGTGCTGATATGAGGGTAGACAGGTTTCAGAGGACCTGAGAGACTAGGGAGAAAGGACTGGTAATCTACGTAAAAAACCAGCTAATGAAAACCCTATGGATCAGACAATGGAACACTGTCTATGGACAGATGATAAGAATGGTACAGAACTAGGCAGCATGTGTTCTGTTGGCTATGCAGTTACTGCAAGGTGGGGCTGATTTAATGCTGCTAATAACAAGATGACTTCTTTCTCACAATGAACAAATTTCATACACCTACCCTTATATGAGGGACCCCATTTTATAATTTGAAATACACAGGGGCTCATGAGACCACTTTGAACTGCAGAATAATCCCACTCAGAGCCTTTATACACTACAGGAATTACCTCTATACACTAAGAAGGATGATCACGCTAATCATGTTTATCTCCTTTAATGAAAAACTTACTACTAGATAAAACAACTCTCTTCCGTCGAGTTGGAACCGACTCATCGTTGGCTGTCCAGTGGGTTTTCACAGGCTATAAATCGCACAGAAGGAGACTTTATCCCTCAGAGTTGCTAATGGATTCAAACTCCCTGTCTTTGGGTTGGCAGAGCAGCTCCTTACCTACACATTAGTCCTCCAGTGTAACCCTACACTACTAGGTAACTTATTTAATTCTACTGTTGAACAGTTCTCACTCCTAAAGGTCCAAAGCGGAAGTATCTGAAGGGATGAGCAGCCTCACTCCCAGTAGGGTGGTGAGGAGGGAAGGTTAGAAGTGACAGGAGAGAGGCATGGAGGTGGGATGGGGAAAGAGGGAAGGAGGGAAGTGGTATGAAGGAGGGACTGGCAGAGGGACTGAGACAGAGAATTAAGGAGGAGGAGGCTGAGACACTCTTGTTCTGTGCCCAGAGCATGTGCCAAGAGGCTGCCTGTGCTCTTGACAGGAGAGGGCAGACGGGGCTACAGAGAGAGGCTCCACTTCCTGGACACCTCCTCCTATCCTCTGCTGACCCACTATGCGAGCTACTCTGCCAGGATCTGAGAAGCAAGACTGCAAGGACATCATAGGAGGGCAGCCCCACGCTGGCTTGCAGTCCCCAAGAGAGATGATGAGAGCGTGCCTCCTGAGGCCAGTGCTCAGCCGGCCTAGTCCTCTACAATCTGCAGGACTCAGAGACCCTGAGCTGCATCCCCAAGCTCAGCTCTGACAGAGGTTTAGAGGACTCCAGCTCAGGGTATGGAGTGGAGGCCACAGATTTGAATCAGAGATATTCTCACTGTCTGGGAATTAGCAGAGCCTTCCCTAAATCACATTTTAGAAAGAGTGATTTATCAATAAGAACTGATAAGGAGGGTAGCTAAAGGGAGATATTACTGATGGGTTTTTTTTAAATTAATTTTAATGAAAGTTTACAGAGACTGAGGGTTTCCATTCATTCACTGTTGCACTTTTCTCCCTGCCCAAGCTCCCCCCACCTCAGTTTGCTCTTTTTGAAAAGTAAAAGACAAATTCTTTCATTGTTATACAATCTCCTCCCCCCCAAGTCCACCCCACTATGCAGCCTTCATTTGGACTCCTGTCATGACATTAATACCTAGTCATATATCCTTTTTAAACAGTTCTCTCCCTCATCTGTTTCAATGCAATATACATTATTTAGCCCATCTTCCTCAGTCTGACCCCAACCCCAAAGTCAGTCTTGGTTTACAACAGTGGCCCTAAGCAATATTTGTCCTTTTGTGACTGAGATATTTCACTCACATAATGTCCTCCAGGGTCACCCATTTTGAATAATATTTCATGAGTTCCTTGTTTTTCAATGCTGCATAGTATTTCATTGTGTAAATATGCCACAGCTTCTCTAACCATTCATTTGTTTTTGTTTTTAAATTTATTTTATTTCATTATTTTTTGTGTGTACCGTCAAATCAGATCTGACTGGTACAGGAGGAGATTGTTCCTCCTTCTCCAGCAGAGCATCTGGTGGATTTGAACCATGCACCTCTGAGACTGTAGTTCCATTCATTTGTTGATGGCCACTTAGGCTGTTTCTCTTTGCTATTGTGAACAAAGCCGCAATAAACACAGGTGTGCATATATCTGCTTGGGTGGCAGTTATGGTTTCTTTAGGGTATATTCCCAGTAGTGAAACTGCTGGGTCAAATGTTATTTCTATTTGCAACTTTTTGAGAAAGTGCCATACAGCTTCCATAATGGTTGCACCATTTTGCACTCTCATCAAGAGTGAATAAGGGTTCCAGTTTCTCCACAATCTCGTCAGCACTTGTTGTTTACTGTTGAAAACAGACATGGCAAAACATGCACATATTCAACAGATTCTACATGTGCCATTTAGTGACACAGATTCTATTCTTGTAGCTGTGCAACCATCCTCATCTGTCAGAGTCCTTCCTCTCCCATTAACACAAGCCCACCGTCTCCTAGGGTGTTCCCCTCTCATCTTCTGAGTGGCTGTTGTCGATTTAAGCTCACAAAGGTAGTTCTTAAAAGAGCAAAATGCTCAAGGCAGACCTTTTCTGCCAGTTAAACTTCTGTGCAGGTTTAATAAGACTTCAGGGGAAACTCTCAGGTTAAGGTTGAAATATTATCTTAAAGCAATAATATGTGGGATTGATTCGGTCTCCATGGTTTCAAAAAGTCTAGAGTACATAAGAATCTGAAATTCTAATCTGCATTTTCCTCTTTTTGATCAGAAATTCTTCTAAAAAATATTTGATCAAATGTTCAGTGATGGTAGTTGGGCACCCTGGTATCTCTTCCGGTAAAACAGACTGTTGTTCTTGGAGGGAATAAGCTATACATTCCATATCTTCCTCCTATTTCTGACTTCTGATGGCCTAGCAGTAAAGAAGGGAGCCCCGGTGGCCTAGTGGTAAGGAGCTGCACTGCAATTCCAAAGGCACCAGCTGCTCCACAGGAAAATATCGAGTACTCTCCTCTCGTGCAATTTACTGTCTCTGAAAACCTGCTGGAGGGTCAGCCATGGGTCAGTTTCAACTCCATGGCACACAACAACAGAACTGTACTGCCAACCCAAAGGCATGTGATTTGAACCGAGCAGTTGCTGAAGAAAACAGGGCAATCTCCTCCTGTGCAATTTAAAGCCTCTGGGAACCCACTGGAGAGTCAATTATGAGTCAATTCCGATTTGACAGTACACAACAACAACATTCCTGACTCTTTCTTTCTCCTTTTTTTTTTTAATAGAGTCCAACTGTTGGGCCTTGGATGGCTGCCTGAAGCTTTTAAGACCCCAAGAACTATGCAAGAAACACTAAATCCATTGTTAAGCCCGTTATTGGGGCTGCCCCAAGATACCTTAACCCTCAACAAAATCAAATCAAGAAGCTAAATATTATTAGGTTCCTGTTACTTCTTATTTCATCCCACAGCTGATTCTTGAGTCCTTGGGTCATTCTGCACC